GTTTCATTTGTTAAAAGTCTACCGTGACGTCAAGTACTAAAACTTTTATAAATTAAACGCGCTTCAAAGGAATCGCCAAAGTCCGTAGATTAAGACGTATAATTTAGAGACTCCGAGTTATTGAAAAAAATGGCGAAGACAAGCTTCAACTAAAACAACACCGTTAGTTTTTCTCGGTATGCATTCATTATTTATTTTTAATCAAAAAAACTTGGTTCAAACCTTTTTTTTTTAACATTATCTTTCATATGAACACAATATGTGTCAGGAGTTTGGGATCCCTTGAAAGAGATAAATATAAAAATCTTTGTTTCGAAAATGTTCGTAAAATATCAACTCAATTATCAAACAATAATAATAATTAATAATTAGGAACTAAATAAAAAAAAAGCAAACGTAAATTTTTTTTAAGAAGTAAATTTTAAAGATTCTTTAAAAGTAACTTCAACTTAATAAAATCCTGAATATCACCACCAGACAATAACACTGTAATAAATAATTAGATTCATGTAAAACATGATTGAGTATCAAACAAAAAAAAAGCAATAAAAAATAAAAAACAACTTACTTGTATCTAAATTAAGGTCATCTTCAGCTTCTATAAAATTAACAGCTTGTCGAGAAACAATTTCAATACATTACCTACAAAACAGAACTTGTTTTATTAACTAAAACAATTAAAAGTGAAACTTTAGTAACTATAAAAACAGATTGAAAAATTACAAAATACTTATTTTATAAATAATATCTTATTTATAAATAAAATTTATAAATAAGAGTATATTCGATAATTACAGTTTTTACGATAATGATTAAAGAGATATTCAAAGATGGTAAATAATGTAAATCTCTAAATTTCCTTATTATGTTAATATTAAATAGTTTTTACTTTTATTTATTTTTAAAAACAGTAAATCTTATAACATAATTTAGTTTAAATATAAAATTAAAGTTTTTAATTATGTTCTTAATAAAAATTATGTTCTTAATAAAAACAAGCTGATGAACTTGCTGCGTGGCAAGTTCATCAGCTTGCTTGTTTTGTTGTTTAAAATGCAAATCAAAAAACTTTATAGTTTTATAGATCTTATATTCTATATATAAACATGTTGTTTACTAATTTTCCTTGCACGAACTTAACTTTATTGTAAATAAACTTGAAATGTGAAACTTAAATAACATAAGTTATTTAAGTTTCACATTTCAATGATGACACATGGGCAAAAAAACTTAAAAAAAGTTGTTGATAGTAGGACTTGAACCACGGCTTTCTTGTTCAGAAGCTCAGCGCGTTAACCACTCGGCCACAAAGGCACGCTGCCCATCAAAATCTTAAAACTATATAAAAATTTTTACCTGCACCTATGTCTTTGAGTTTGTTATAAATAATGGCATAAACGCAAAGTTTTTTTACATCAATTAATATGACTGCTACAATTTTTTTTTGGTTTCTATAACTCGTTATTTATTGAAAAGTTTCAAATTCATGTAGATTGAATTGCATCCTTTTTTGAAGCCCAATTGATTTATTGGAATGATTCTGTTATCCTCAAGATCTCAATTTGATGTAGTACAGCTTTTTCAAATAATTTTGATAATGCTTGTAATACACTTATTGGCCTGTAATTATCCATAACAGTTTTATTTCATTTTTTATAAACAGGTTTTATCTTTGCTAGTTTCATATCTTCAGGGAAATAGCCAGTACTAATTGGCTCGTTGATGTTAAAAAGTTTGTGCGTCCTGATAAGCAATGTTTAATTAACTTGTTACTAATTAGGTCAAAACCACAACTACTTTTAGTAACTAAATCATTAAGAATTTAAATAATTGACTCATTAGATACTGACTTTAAGTCCCAAGTAACATTGTGAGGCGGAATATATTTGTTATAGCTCATGGGAATAAAGTTGCTTGCTCTTAGTTCAAGTAAAGCATATGTATAAATAAGTTAGCTATTTCAAGTTCTGAATCAGAACTTTTGATTCAATTAATAAATTATTTTTTTCAAGTTTTAGCGAATCTTCATTACAAGATCTTTGAAGAGCTTTGTTAAGAACAGTCCATGTTTTCTTACTGTCGCCTTTACAGTTTATTAGCTGTTGCTCAAAGATGTTATTTTTTTGAATATAGATATTTTTTTTATATCTTTTCTTATTTTGAACTAAGATATTTTTAAGTCATGTCTTCCACTAATAACCTTAGAGCTTAAATTTGTGATAAACTTTCTCGATTGAAGAAATTCTCGGTTCATTCGCTCTTTTTTTGGTATAAATCTCCAATTTTTCGACATTGTTTTTACTGGTGCTGCTTTGTCTAACTCAATCTGGATTTTGTTAAAAATTTTTTGTAACTTGTCTCAATGCTATCATTTGTGTAGTAATTGTCATAATTGCTACACAAATCCAACTTGTCTTAATTAAATTATACGTTTCCGCATTTAGTTTCCTAAACCTCATCTTTATTATTTTTTTATCAAAGAAGTCATGTATTGTGAATAAAACAATTTGATGATCCGCTATCCCGTAATTATGAATTATTGCTTTAACATTTGTTTGATTCCTACTAATCAAAACATAATCAAGGCATTTACCAGAAATTAATCTAGTTGGTCTATACGTAATATTTATGAGATTGTACTCATTTAGGATATTCACGTAATCCAGAGAAATTATTGAATTAAGTCAGTCGATGTTGAAATCAACTCAGAATAGTGTGTTGATACTATTACTTTTTTATTAGTATATTTAAAATTGTTTAAAAAAAAAATTTTAGGAGAAGGGGGTTACAATGTTGTTGCAAAATTTTGGGAAATGGGGTCAGAAAATGTTACAATGCGATACGAGGAGGATGAGGGGGTCAAAAAAAATTCAAAAAATTGCTTGTTGTAATTTACGGACGACCCCTAACCACAATAATAACTTAAGTATCTCTATCATGACGTAAGCGCAAAAAATATTTCTGCTTATTTGATGTTTGTCTCAATTTTAAGCTTTTTAAAAACTCTCTTCCTTTTGTTTGTTATAGCTTACAATAAAAACTTGTTATAGCTTACAATAAAAACTTGATATAGCTTACAATAAAATAAAAAATAAAAAGTTTAAAATGTTTTATTTTGTATTTTTGAAAATTGGAAAAGATTTAAAAAAATTAATACTCAAGCAACAGGATTTGAACCCTCACAAAGGGTTCAAATCCTGTTGCTTGAGTATTAATTTTTTTAAATCTTTATAAAAGTAAAAACATCTATAGAACTTCAGAAATGTTTTAATTTTTATTTAAAAAAAAGACTTTAAAATAATAATAATAATAATTTGAAAAGTTTGAACAACGGCATTTCACTTTGCAATGCTGCGACCTAACCACTTCGGTTACTAAAGTATATTGTTCAATTAAAGTTTCAAAAGTATTCAATAGACAAAAGACTTTGTTTTTTAAATATGAAATAATGTAACTCACTAATGAATTTTTTAAGCAAGGTATCTTACTAATAGAGGCACTGGTAAATAGTGATCGACTAAAACAGGAAATACGTCAAAACCGAAAAAAACTGATTCAAAAAATTATGTGCACTGCAATCGTTTGATTAATTAGAGTTTTGATACTCTTAAAAAGCAGATGGATATGCGCTATTAAGTAACTAAAAAATAATTCATGAATGATGTGCTTAAAATTTCATTTAGGAATGGTAAAATGTTTTGTGAAAATTATCAAAAAAACTGTTTTTGTAAAACAAATAAAAATATAAAATCATAATAATTTTTTAGTTTCCATTATGTTTTTTAATCAAATATTTGCTTCTTACCAAATTAATAAATTTGTTAAGAAGCAAATATTTGAATGAAAAATATAATGGAAACTAAAAGTTTGGTATGATTTTATATTTTTATTTATTTAATTTAATTACCAAAGTTTAAATATTCCTTTATATACAAACAACATGATAGGATGTTTGATAATCCAGGGAACAAAAGTTGGTGTTGTTTTAATGCCTAGAGATGATTATGTTGTTACAGAATTATAAGATTTTGGTATATTAAAATTTATTTAATACAAAAGATTGATAGATATTATATTGGTGATTTTGATGTCAAAAAAAGTAGTACAGAAAATAAAGGGGGATAGAATTTGATTCCTGGATTTGCATTGAAAAGATTTCAAACTTTTCAAAAGTTGTTGTATGTAATGTAGCCTTTGCTAACCAATGCGGTAGTTTTGTAGTGGTAGAGAAAAAATTTATTTTCCTTTTTGCTAAGAAAACATTCAATAATCATAAAAAAAAGCAATTTTTTTGAAAATTATGTTCTAGAGGGGGCAATCAGAACAATCGTAAAAAAAGTTCTACAGGGGGCAGTCAGATTAATCGTAAACTCTAATTAATCATACAACAAGGTGCTATATAAATATGATCATGAATGTAATTACATCATTATGCAAAGGATATTAAAAAAAGTTGATATTATTATTAATGAAACACACTTTATTAAACAAATTTTTGATATTATTTGTTTATCAAGCACTTCTTATTTATTATTTTTTCTTTTTGTCTTTAAATCTGTTTTAAAAGTATTTTTTTAAGCATCAACAATTCGCTAAAGTTTTTTTTATTATTATTATTACTTATAGATATTATTAGTAATTAAATAAAAACTTTTACTATGGATGTTACTCTTTTTTTTTTAAATTATATTTTACTATTTACATTATTTCAAGAAAGTATAGATACCCTCGTTATCAAGTATAACATAAATATAGAAAAACCATTAAAAACAAAACAAAAATCCAAACATAGGTTTCTAAAAGGATGTCGTGACGTAACTACTTTGATCAAGGTTTAAACCGCCTTCTGAAAGTGCAAAATAAAGGAATCGTATTTTAATGCCTCCTCCACTTAATTAAATAAATATATAGATATTATTGTAATTTGTCTTTGTTTAAATTATAATGAATATAAATTTTTCTTTATAATAACAGTTAGTAACAACTCTTTTTGTTTTTAGCCAGAAATCATAAGTTTGTTAGTGATAAACTTTCCCTGCTTCAATTCAACGATGTACTTCTTGCGTGCGAAAGGGCAATAGATAGGTAATGGATGCTGCTAAATATATAATAACAACAATTATATTAAAAAATATAGTTATTTTCATTGTATTTTTCTTATATTCTGTTTTCATTTTGTGTTCTTAAAACTTATAAGTTATCACTATAATTATAATAAAAAATGCTTCATACTAGTTGTTCAAAAATAATTTTCTATACTTATATGTTATTCATAATCGTAAATATTTAGAACAAGAAATTATTGTGGAATTGTGTCACTTGAAAATATAACAACATTTACAAGTAATAATATTTTTTATGCTTTGCTTATAATTTAAAGATTTTTTTAAATTTTCTGACTGCTTTTTTCAGATTTGTTATCCTGTAATATGAATGTAATTACATGTTAAATAAACCAAACAGCATATATGCATAGAGTTTGATTTATATATATATATATATATATATATATGTATATATATATATAAATATATATATATATATATATATATATATATATATATATATATATATATATATATATATATATATATATATATATATATATATATATATTGCATTTTGAAGTCAACTCATTTCGTTTATTTAACTTGTTATCACCTTATATGTTAAAATAAGGAATTTTTTAAATAAGCAAAGATTGCAACTTTTTGATGAGGCATTATAAGGGTTGCAACGTTTTACAATTTTCCACTTAATTAAGGGTGTAAACATTTGTCTTTTATGTCCAAAATTTCTTTAGACAACTTGGTATCATTTTTATACATTTATTAATGTTAAAATATTTCAGTTGATTAGCATAACGAGATTTGATTAGAGTTTCACATTAGCCAAAATATACTTTTTCTTGGACAGATGGATTATAATAATAATAATAATAATAATAATAATAATAATAATAATAATATTAATAATAATAATAATATTAATAATAAAAATGTTTATTTACATTAAAATTAAATACAAAAAGGTGAGACCGGTAATCACAAGATTACGCTTACCTAACACCACTAATATAAAAATAGACGGAGATAATTACAATACAAATTAATAGAGTACACAATTGCGTTGTAAATCATAATTATTTATCTTTTTTTTGAACATTAATAAATAAGAAGAATCAACAATTTGAGCTGTAAAGGATTTCCATAATTTTACAGTTCTTTTGCTTAAAAAGAAGTTACGACAATCGTTTGTACATATATTGCATAATATAAGTTTTTTAGCGTGACATCTAGTATTGTAGTGAGAGTTGGAAAAGTCAAAGAGATTGGAAAAAGGAAAGTCAACAAGATTGTGTACAATTTTGTATACCATAACAAGATCAAATTTAACTCTAGGTATTTAAGAGAATCGAGATTTAGAAAAATTAGTCTCGATACCTAATCAGAATAAGAAAAATGGCATCTTTTACAGATAATTACAGATAATTATTCAAATTACCAGTATTATCTTTGAGATATTTCCAAACCAGCTAAACAGTCAATTTCAAAATTTTTGGATTGGTGTGAAACAACCTTACTTCATAAATTGAGGTGCAAATCAGCCTATTACACTCATTTTTACCGTTAGCATTATTCTTAACCAAGTCATTCAACTCAAGACAAGATTGGCAGAGGCATATCATTTTCTGTATTCTATTTAACTATAGAATACAGAAAATTTCATATCAATCTGTATTCTATTTAACTGCCTCATATAAAACAGGTACCTACCTAACCAATGGAAATCAGCGAATAAAACAACATTTTTTAAAAATTTCAGACTCCTTTCATCTAATGACTACAATTCTATTGCCATCATATCTGCATTATGCAAAGTTTTTGAATGCTTCATTACCACTTTGATTTTCCATCACACCAAGCACATATGGGTCTCAAATAAACAGTTTTTTTCTAAGGTGTTGAACAATTGATGCTGTTATTCAAATTATAAAAGACTGGAGTATTGCTAAACTTTATAAAAAATAAATTTTGCAAAAATGTTTGATCTTGTTGATCATAACAAACTACAGATATAGTTAATAAATATTCAACCTACCTGGCTCACTTATTGGATTGCAGCTTACTTATCTCATTGTTGTTAAAGAATTAAAATAAATGATCTCATCGCTGACTGGAAATGTATTGAAGCTGGTGTACTTTAAGGTAGTTTTCTGGGTCTATTTCTATTTCTGACATTAACGTCTATTATTGATCTCATTATATCCCACCAGAAACTATTTTTCAAAAATACTCTGACAACATTCTGACTTATATCCTGAATATTCTACAATAATGTTTCTGGCAACTTACCTCAATCCATTGAAGATGGTGAAACTTAATAGCTCTAAATGTAACTTTAAAGCTCTAAATGTAAAATCAATAAAATTTATTCCCAGATGCACGAAAGTTCATGCTATACCTACTCTTATACTCAAAAATACGAGCTTGAAATAGTCAACAGCGACAAATACCATGCTTAATGACAATTTTTATTGGGATGCATATCGGTCTGATTTTATATAGTCACAACAATATAAAATTGGAGACACTCAGCACAACATTTTACAATTCTAGAGATTTTATGCTATTAGCTACCTGATATACAGTGAATCCGTTCTTACATTGTGCATTCCTGTTTCTGCAAAAAAAAAGACTTATTTTCATAAACATTGGAATTGATGAAACCAATCCAAGCGGATTCATTATTAGTTTTGGTATTGAAGATTTACTAGACAAAATCTGTATTAATATCTTTAAAAATATCTTTGCTGACTCATGCCATTGCATAACTTTTAAATTAGCTTACCCTAAAACTATTGAAAAGATCACTACCTATCAACAATCTTTTAGTCAAAAATAACTCCATAATATTCTTTGTGATGGCGTCATAAACATCTACTTACCATAACACATTGTGAGTTCTACTGCCTTTTAATGCATAAATGATATATTATATATACCTGATATACAGTGTATCTGTTCTTAGTTCGTGCATACCTGTATACAGTGTATCTGTGTTCTTAGTTCGTGCTACCTGTATACAGTGTATCTGTGTTCTTAGTTCGTGCTACCTGTATACAGTGTATCTGTTCTTAGTTCGTGCATACCTGTTTCTGCAAAAAAAAAGATTTATTTTCATAAACATTAGAATTGATGAACACTACAAAATAATAAGTAAATACTAAAAAAAAAACTTTTTGTAAGGAAAAAAATGGCATTATGTTATCAAAATAAAGTTTTTAATCTGAAACTCATTTTTTTTCTTGTTTATTAAATGTAGTTTGCACCGGAATTATTAACTTTTCTTATCAATATCTAAAAAAGAGAAGAAAAGAAAGTGATTTATATTTATAAAAAAGCAAAATTTTTGCAAGGGCCATACCTAAAGTAGTTTTTTTTTGTGTCAAAATTTTGACAGAAAAATTTAGGATTTAGAAAAAATTAGAATTTGTACTCATACTTCTTCTTCTTGTACAATTATTTTATTTTAGATTGTTTTTAATTTTATTATCTGATGGTAATAATATACCAATTCTTTTTTTAGGACTTTCTGCTGTTTTTGTAGAACCAATATGCTTTGATAACATTACTCAAAATATTTATTTTAAAGATAAATTTGGAAATATTTTGTCTTATAATTACTTAAATAAGACTTTAATGAGATTATCTGATACAAAAGAAAAGGTTTTGCAACTGCCATCTTTAATTTTACCATTTACTGCAAGTAAAGATGAAAAGTTGTTTTGTTGCAATTCAAATGCACAAATAGGCAAATACAATGGTTTGCCCTATTATAGTAAGTATTATACCTTATATAGTCTTATAGTTTTTAAGGCCAAAATAGTTTGTTTCAAGATGTGGTCAAGCAAGATTTTGACACCTACTTGTTAAACTAACTAAACTAATAGTTAAAAAAAAAATTATTTTTGAAAAATTATTTCAGTATTTTACTTTTAAAATAGTTTTTATAATACCAATTAAGCCAAAGTATCAGGGGTTGAAAAATGGTTATATAACTTAAATTGTTTTTTCTCATTTTTACAATGCTTTTTGATACTGTATAGAAATAATTTAATTTCCAATATTTAAAATAATTTTTTAAGTCTCTAAAATCTTCTAAGTTTTTTTAAGTTTTTTTATATTGCTTTATTTAAGCTTTTTTTATATTGCTTTTTTTAAGTTTTTTTATATTGCTTTTTTTAAGTTTTTTTATATTGCTTTTTTTAAGTTTTTTGATGCTTTAGACCAAGGGTATGGTAATAAAAATAGTTTAGAAATAAAAATGTTTTAAAATTTTAGGTTTTTTTTTTTTTTAATTATTTTTAAAGTTTTTAAAAACATAATTAGGCAACAAATATAATTTATAATTAAATATTTATTTTAGCCAGTGCTTACGCATTTATAATAAGAAATTCGAGAATATTTTATTGGGTAAGTTTTTACTTTTATTTTCTGTTTTTTATTTAGTATTATGTTTATTTTGGGTGCATGTTGGATGTTATCCATACTCTTTAAATACATACAAATTTTTTCAAACAGCAAACAGAAATGTGAAAAATTTTATTGCTAAAACTACAACGATTATCAAGTATTTTCATCTTCTTTTATAGACATGTTTCATAAAATTTAGCGAGAGATAAATTTACCAATACATTCACTTATAGAAAATGTAATAACATGGTGAAACTTAACATTCCACATGGTAAAGCAAAGTGAAATGAAAACTAAAAATCTTTTTCATTTGAAATTAAAAATGTTTAGTCTTACAGCAAACTAATGGCCTAATATAAATCTTATTTATTTTAAATAAGCTTTTACTAATATGCGAATGAAATGGAAATATCTGATTGTTGATGAAGGGCATTGAGTTAAAAATCTTAATTGCAAATTAATAAAGTAAGCTGTTTAAAACTTATTATTTATATTAGGTCATTGGTTTGCTGTAAGACTCAACATTTTTAATTTCAAATGAAAACGATTTTGGGTCAGTGCAGCAGTCTCAAATAAAATTAATCATTTTTTTATAAATAATAATAAATGTTTTTATGAATATATAAAATAGTCTTTTTGATATTGAGTAAACAATGCCTTCTTATGCATGGTAAAGCAAAGTGAAATGAAAACTAAAAATCTTTTTCATTTGATATTAAAAATGTCTTACAACCAATGGCCTAATATAAATCTTATTTATTTTGAATAAGCTTTTACTAATATGCGAATGGTATGGAAATATCTGATAGTTGATGAAGGTCATTGAGTTATATAATATATGTAAACTTAGGATTAAAATGAAGTCTTTTTTTACAGAAATTTTGAAAAACATAGTTTAGGGGTTGTTTATCATATACTGTCATTTCAATGCATTATTCAACAAAATTCATTAAACTGAAAACTAAACGAATAAAGGGTTTTTCAATGATTTTTAGCAACCAAAACCCTTTGTTTTTCTAAGTGTTGATGGTTATCTTCCATTAATTCGTTAAAACTCCAATAGTCACATGCTTGGTCTGGGAATTTACATTCGTATGATTTCACCCTGGAAACTAGATTTATATCCACAGACTTCTTTTTCTATATGATTTTGTTAAGCACCTTTTCACTCTATCACCTTTCTTTTAGCTCTCCTTCATTTCAAGGCATTCTTTTTGATGTTATTTCTGATCAAATTGATCAAGCTATTTCTCTTTATTATTCAGCCAATATCGTTGTTGTTGGTGACTTGAATGCTCATAACACTGAATGGCTTTACTCTAGTGTCAGTATCTGAAAAATTTTACGCAAATAGTCAACTTTCCATCCTGCTTTCCGACCATTCAAATCATTTATTTTTTCTGCTGGACTGATTTCTTGTTTCTGTTCCAAGTCAGTGCTTAGTTTCTCTAAATTCACCCTTATGTGCTCTGATCACTGTTTGATCTTTCTAAAACTATTATCTCCTTATTCTTAACCATCAGAGTCCTCTTGTCATCATACCTCTTACAACTACCTTAAAGTTGACTGGGACTCTTTTCGTGATTTTCTTTTTTATAGCCCTTCGGTAAAAATCTTTCATCTTCCTGCTTCTTACGTAACTTAGTAAAATTAAGCTAAAGTAAAATCTTTTGTTACCTCTTAACAATACCAAGTCAAGTCTCACTCTTCTCCATTGTTTTCCTCTCATTGTGGTGCTGAAATTTTTGGTTGTAACCATTAATTCCATATATATTGCCAAAAAAGATTCTTCAGAAATTAACTTCTGCTTGTTATTGCTAGAAACCACTGTAAATAGGTTTTGTCTAACGCCAAAGCCTCCGATTCTCAGGTTACAAAATCTAGTAATTCAATTCAAAATTCATGCTCTAGAAACTACTGTAGCATCTTTAACAGTGTCAATTAAAAGAGTAAATCTGTTAATCCTCCTCTCTTGCAAGGTTCAGATTTTGGTATCTCACCTAAAGACAAAGCTGAATTGTTTGCTAGATATTTTTCATCTATCTCATCTCTTGATTCCACTAATCACATTCTAATTAATAAAGCCAACAAACAGGTTGGTCCATTGCTTGACAATCGAATCACTAAAGCTTCTGTATCTAAAGTGATTTCCTGCTTAGACTTTTCTACACCTTATGGTCCGGACAACACACCTGTTATAATCTTTCACAAGTGTTTTACAGTCTACTGAAAATTGGCATTTGTTATCCCTATTTACAAATGTTCTGGATAGCAATCTGACTTTTCTAACTATCGTACTATTAGTTATCTTCCAATCATATGCAAGGTTTTTAAAACTATAATTAACACACACTTTATCTATCATGTTCAATCTAATAACTTATTTTTGATTATCAATATGGATTTTGATCTTCTCGTTCTACTGCTAATTTGCTGACAGTAATAACCGATAGGTTTTATCGTGTTTTAGATAGATGCTATTGCTCTTGACATTTCTAAGGCTTATGATAAATTTTAGCATGCTGGTGTTCTCCATAAGCTTTCTTCTTACGGTGTTTCAGGTAACAACTTAAAGACTATTTAGTCCTTTCTTACTAATTGTAATATAAAATTTGTCATCGAAGGACAGTTCTCTTCTTCATTTCCTGTAATTTTCCGGTTTCCTTAAGGAGCGATCCGTGGCCACATACTTTTGTTAATATACATTAACAATCTTCTAGACGATCTCACATCTAAGGTTGATTTGTTTGCTGCTGACTTTCATTTATTATTTTCTAGATAAGAAGTCAACGGCTTGGGGCTCTTAGTAGCTGGTGAACTTTAACTCAGATAAAACTCAATTTTTTTCAGCTTATTGTTGTCAAAAAAAACTAAGATCTATTTTTGAATGGTAATGCGCTCAATGAGTCATCTACCCTTTTTCTAGAATTAACTCTTATTTGCGTTCTTATTTGAATATCAATTGCAAAATAAACATCTGCTAAGGTTGCATCTCTTTATCATGTTTGTCACATTCTAGCTCTGGATTCTATTCTTTATTTCTATAAATCCCAAATCCGTTCTTTTTTAGAATACTGTTGCCATCTGGAGCGGATCTTTAAATACTGCCCTTTCTCTTTCAGAAATAGTGCAAAAATACATTTTAAATATAGTTGGACCTCCTCCTGCAGCCAACCTTCAACCAATGTCACATCGTCCTCATGTTGCTTTTATTTTTTTTCTAAAGAGCTAGCGTCTCTTGTATCTTCTACTAAAAATCATTCTCGTGTTACTCGTCATTCAATTAAGTCTCATTTTTATACTGTGACTGTTCCTAAGTGGTCTAAAAATTCTTATTTGTCTTGTTTTTTTTCTTCAACATCTGTTTTTTAGATCTCGCTCTCTTTATCTTGCTTTTCCGATTCATTCAATTTGTATTCTTACAAGCCGTCTGTTAATCGTTGTCTTGCTTTATAATCTTTATCCTTTCTCTTCCAGTAACTTCTAACCCTAATAGTTGTTGGTCTCAGTTTTGTTGGAAGTTCTCTTTTTACAGGGTAGACTTTTAAAAAGAGGTTAGCCCCATTATCTTCCGCTCTAAATTTGCCTAATATTTATTTTATCATTTTATATGTCTTCACTGCTTTTGTATATTTCTATCTGTATATTTATATATTATTTAATGTATTCATAGCATAATCTTTTACATGTAATGTATTTTTATAATACTGTGGCTTTATAAAAATACATTACACGGAGAATAATATGATTTACATTTTAGTTAAATAGGAATAAAAAATAAAAAAATAAAACAGAAAAACTATATACTATGACTTATATAATAATTTTCTTTATAGGCTCCGCCGGCCATATACATTCCATCAAGTTTTGGGTAGGCTTTGTTTGACAATGTTACATCAATAGATGCGTAACTGTTTGACAATATCACATAAATAGAATCGTACCGACTAGCAAACAAGACAATTTTTCAGTAATTCAAAAAAAAATGCTTATGTTTATTTTGTTTTTACTTATATTTTTCTTGTTTTAAAAAAGTTTTTTTTTTTTTTTTTTTTTTTTTTTTTTTTTTTTTTTTTTTTTTTTTTTTTCTTTATTCACTTTTTTGTAAAAGTAATGCCAACCAATACATAATTAAAAATTATAAAGAATAGTTATTTGAATATATTTTTTTAATAATCCTTACTTTGTTTTTAGGAACCTTTTTAATTTCAGTTTATTAACGTATTAATTTTTTTATACAGCTTGAAATTTTTTTATTTATCTCTCATCTTTCAATCCAAAAATACCAGTTTTTTGAATTGTTTCTTTAGAAAAAATTTGTTATATATAGTTTTTTTTATAGACATATACCAGTTGAGATAAAAAATTTGTTATGTAAAACATTTTTATAAGCTCATGAGTTATAAAGATTGATGTCGATACTTTAAATGTAAAATGACAAATAAAGTTGAAGTGATTAAACTAATATTTTAAATGTAAAATGACTTTTTTAGGTGTGTAACCGTGTGCTTATCCCAGTTTTTTAGGTATGTAAGCGTGTGCTATCCCAGGTTTTAAGGTGTGTAAGTGTGTGCTTTACCATTTTACATTTTTCTGAAGCTGCTGCTTTCATTGAAATAATAAGCAGTTCTGGCGCAGAGATTAAAGCGATAATTTCAGAAATGAGGTGTTTGATTCTTGTTCTGATTATATAAGCAACATCGGTAAGAAAAACGGGGTTAAACCATTAAAAACTATAAACGCAGGTTTTTCAGAAATCGTTGAAGCCAATACACGGTCGTTTCGTAAAAGACTTGTATAGTAAACATGTAAATTACCCAAAAACTCAAATATGCAAATAAGACCATTTTTTCACTAATTTTAAAAACGAAGCATTTAGTGGTTTTTCCAATTAAAAAAAAATTAATAACAACGAAGTCGTTTCTAATGAGCTGTTTGTTGAATTAGGACGTGAGCAATTTAATGATGGAAATTCGTTTAGTATCTTCTAAACAGGACATTTGAAATAAGAGCTAATCAGTTTTTTGCTATACTTTTCTTTAATTTTAACATTTGGAAATAAAGAGTAATTTTATTACACAGAAAAAATAATGTAATTTTGCTGTTGTTAAGACTTACTCATTCAATCGGCTCTAAATTTTGGAAAATCTCGTTTTTATCTTTGTTATTGAAATCTTTTTCTTAAGCTTTCCTTCCTTTTTTCCTTTTGTCAAGATTTGTTTTTATGTAACTTTTTTGATTTAGAGCTTTTCTAACTCACCTCTTTTTTCCTTTATTTCCCAAATGCGCTTGGTGTTAATTTTGAATTAAAAGTAATTCCAAGTAATACAATTTTTTTAAGATTTTACAAAGTTTCTCAAATAAATATTGATAATTTTTGAAAATATTTTCGTTTCCAGTTGTTTTCGTTTTCAGAAAATTAATATATAACTTCTGCTGATTTTGGAAGATTTTTTAAACCTCTTGGTAATCCAAGGAGAATTCAAACTCTTAGATTTTGCTATTATTTTAACTATGTTTGTTAAAGTCTTATGCAGAATAGAAATTTTAAGGAAAGTTTCATATATGTTAATAAAATTAACATAATTTATGTTAATTTTATTCCAATGGAGTGAAGATAGTTGACCTTTGAATAATTGGTCATTGAATAATATTAACGTTCTGATTAATAACATGTTTATTGTCAAAAAATTTCTATATTTGAAGAAATTGTTTCGAAAATGGGAAAATGTTCTATTATATTAGTTTTTAAAATACCCTTTTTATGCCATTTTTAAAAATATCAGTTGAAACAGTATTATTGATTTAAGACGCTGAGTTTATAGTTTCTCTGGTGCGGCGATTGATGAGGATCAGGACTAGGGTTAGGGTCAGGGTTAAGGTTACCCTGTAACAAAAAATATATCGGAAAACTTTTTACTTTATCGTCATTGTTATAAAGAAAACAACTCATATTAAAGTCCTAATTTAGGATATTTTTTTTCTTTTCGGCATAGCCTTTTAAATAATGTTGTGCGAAAACATGCCAAGGGGTTCACTCACCCCAGTAGGCGGCCGGTAACAACAACTAAATAATAAGTTTTTTTTAAGGTTATTATTGATTTAAATTGTTAAAACTTCTCTGTCGCTCTCAGAAACGCTTAATTTGCCCTTAAAAACAATCCTTAGTGTTTCGTGCGCATAAATTAAAACTCCATCACCTCGGAAGATATCATCAAAGGAAGATATCGTCAAAGGAAGATATCATCAAAGGAAGATATCATCAAAAGATCTAAATCGAAATTTGAAAATTACGATTTCTTTTGTTGTAGGTTGTTAGGTAGTAGGTTGTTAGGTAGGTCCTTAGGTTTCTAAATAGGTTTAAAATAGGTTTCTGTTAAGCATTTTATATTATAAAGGTACTTCGTTTCTTCTAGTATATTTAAAAGTTTTTCAAACATTTATTGAGGTGGAGAATTCTAACTTGATTCGAATTTTTGTCAATAACATTTTTAAAAAGATACTCTTTTAGTTCGCTTGTAAAAAGATACAAGTAATCAGAAGATACGAGTTTTAAAAAGGTACGAGTAATGCCTCAAAATAAAATTTTTTGTCGGGTCTGAATTTTCATCCTGGAAAAAAATTCTATTTCGAAAAAACTAAACGCGAGAGGTTTAAAATTATTTAATGCAGCCATGATTGTTTTATATATGTTTAAATAATTTTTTTTAAGAATGTAAATTAGTTTACTTTTTTCTATTGTTATCATAAATAGAATTTTTTAAATAAATATGTTTGTCATGCCGGACCGCAACACTCTCTCCGTTTAAACGTCTTCGTTTTACGTCTGTAAACATTTTTTTCATGATGGCAATGGTTTTTTGTAAAAAGTCTTCGTTAACTAAAATATTTGTGTCTTTTAATTATGGAAGTATAAAGCAGATGAAAGTTCAACCGCATGAAATGCTTTGGAAATATGCTTGTAACCTTTTGTTTTGTAAATAAAAAGAAAACGATATCAAGACATTAAACGTTTAATCATTATACGTTGACGCAAATAGGTACGTTCATGTTAATTTAAAAATAGTATTTTGACGGTTCGCTACTCAAAGCAACTAAAACAAAAAACTCGTAAAAAAAAAAAAAAAAAAACAATTTTTAACAAATCCGATTAATTGTTAGTGGCAAACCGAACAACTTTAATTTAATTTATGCAAACAAAGAATTCATAAATAATGGCAAAATACCGGTTTTTGCATTTAATCTGGTGGATTTTTGCCAGATTAAATGAAAAAAAAAAAAAACAGATTCACGAATCTTGCGGTTTTTTTCATTTAATCTGGCGGGTTTTTGCGTTTAATCTGGCGGGTTTTTGCGTTTAATCTGGCGGTTTTTTGCATTTAATCTGGCATTTAATCTGGTGGTTTTCTGGTGGTTTTTCTTTACCATGATAAACAGTTTTGTTTTTATTGCTTTATTTAATTTAACTTCCTTATGTACAATTTAAGCTCGTTTTCTCTTAAATTTTTAAAAAATTTTAAATGAATAATGCACGAAGACAATTAATTAATTAACGAAGGGAAAAGTGAGAAAGAAGTATCGGAACTCGTGCATAGAACTGAGACTTCAATACGACGCCTGGTCCATCGATATTTATCAACAGGTAATATCAGTCCTGGTATTAAAGGTGATTTTCGACAGTCAGGTTGTACTGAGGAAATAAGAAATAAGCTACACGAATTAATTGGAGTTAACAAAAACTATAATCTACAGCAGTTAAAGGTAGAACTAGGACTTGATGTCAATGTCTCTACATTATGGCGATGGTTAAAAAAATTGAATTATGCATACAAAATATTAAGACCCATTAGTGAAAGACGCAATACTGCAAAGGTAAAAGAAGAAAGAAAAACATTTGTTTCATGGTATTTAAACTTGACATTGCAAAAACGCTACAGAAATATCATTTCCATCGATGAAAGTCCGTTCAATCTTCATATGATAAGAAACTATGGATACAGTCTCCGAGGAACGATCCCAAATCAAAGTGTGTTATCATCAAGAGGCCGTAACATAACAATAATTTTAGCATTAAATTGTTTTAACATAGTCCACTATGAAGCAATAATTGGTGTAGGGGTGACAGCAGAAATCTTTAAAGGATTTTTAAATATGCTTAAAAATATTTTGGGAGAAAAAGAAGAGTTTACCTTGGTGATGGACAACGTTAAGTTTCATCATTCATTATCAGATTTTTATGATAGTTATCTCTATGAAATTCGGTTTTTACCCCGATACTCTCCTTTTCTAAATCCTTGTAAAAAAAAGTATTTATCTTAATACATTAAAATACAGCCATAATAGCTATTTGTATCGGCAGGGTTAGGGTTGTTAACTTTGTATCATTGGTTGTTGACTTTTTATTGACTTAATTTGGAGCGTCCAATAATAGAAAACTTTTGATCTTTTTTTTTTTAAAAATTTTGTTTATAGTAAAACTTTGCGTTACGTAATTTATGGACGATCACTTAGTGTTCAAAGATTTAATTGTTTTTATAACAATAAGTTAAGAGTAACTTTTGTAACTTTTAAATTATTGTTATAATAATAAAAGAAACAAAGTATTAATTAAAGTTTTGTCCTTCCGTTGTTCTTTTGTCCAGTGCGATGGGCACGCTCGATTTCAATATCTTTAACGCAAAGTTTTTGTTTGAAAAATAAATGGACGTTTTCTTCTGTTTGTCCCAAGTTTTATTTCCGTCTTCGTATAAACCGCCTATTCGTAGATTAATTTTACGAGAACAATCTTCAAGTTTTCGGTGTTTGTTTTTTTTTAACTTCATTTTTAATTAATTCCTTTTTATTTGTTTGCTATTGTATTTAATTTTTTATCAATAATGTTTTTCATTAAAACTAATGCTTTGGCTTATTTTTTCAATTTTTTTTCAATTTTTTTGATTTTAATTACATTTTTATTAGCATTGGTCTCAAGCCAATCTTTCGTTGATAATTTTCAGATTT